TGTCGCATGTTCAATTCCTTCTGGGTAAAAAGGTACTTAAGGCTTTTGTGGTCAGTGTAAACTTCACAGGTAGTACCATACAAATAGTGCCGCCATATCTTTAGAGCAAAAACCACCGCCGCGAGTTCAAGATCATGCGTGGGGTAATTCTTTTCATGGGGTTTAAGCTGTCGTGAAGCATAGGCAATAACCCTTCCACCTTGCATAAGCACACACCCTAATCCTTTATGAGACGCATCACTGTAGATCACGAACCCTTCGATGCCAGATGGTAAAGCTAAAACTGGAGCTGTGGTTAATTTCATCTTTAATTCCTGGAAAGCAGATTCCCGCTCCTTTGACCATTCAAATGCAACTCCCTTTCGAGTCAATTGTGTAAGTGGCCCAGCAATTGTAGAAAAATCTTGAACGAATCTCCTGTAATAGCCAGCCAATCCCATAAAGCTACGCACTTCGGTCACATTGGTAGGAGTCGGCCATTTCACAATCGCCTCAATTTTGTGTGGATCAATAGAAACTCCTTCCTTTGTGATAATATGCCCCAAGAATGCCACCTCGAATAGCCAAAATTCACATTTCTTAAGCTTTGCATACAATTTCCTTTCCCGGAGGGTTTGAAGAATTAAGCGATGATGGGTTTCATGAGCTTCCACATTCTTTGAATAAATGAGGATATCATCAATAAAGACCACCACAAATTCATCCAGATAGGACTTAAAAACGCGGTTCATCAAATCCATAAAGGCTGCTGGGGCATTAGTAACTCCAAAGGGCATGACCAGAAATTCGTAATGACCGTACCGAGTTCGAAAAGCTGTCTTCTCAACATCATTAGCCTTGACTTTTACTTGATGGTGTCCAGATCGTAGATCAATCTTAGAAAAGACCTGTGCCCCTTGAAGCTGATCAAACAGGTCATCGATTCTTGGCAACGGATACTTATTCTTGATTGTGACTTTGTTCAGTTCTCTATAATCGATACAAAGCCGGAGTGTTCCATCCTTCT